ATAATAATAATAATAATAATAATAATAATAATAATAATAATAATAATTTTCTTTTATTCATTGAACATGAAACTCAGTCAACTGAACATTTAAAAATGCGTCACAAATTCCATTGACTGGTGCTAATGATTGACATGGGTTGCTGTCAGTGTCCTAGGTATCAACCAAGTATCTTCTTAAAATATACGATTTCGAGTAGCTTTTTTTGCAATTCCGCTGGTGTTATGGCAGGAAGCTACAATTTCTTGATGTGTTTTATAAAATTCCTGGACATGGTACCAAGTGACAGTGGGTATCACTGTTACATGTTTCATCCATAACCGTGTAGTTTTGATGGCCAGGTCATGATATTTCATTATTTTTTCTAGTTCTTTTTCTATTATTGTTGTTGTTGTTGTTTTTGTGCGATTCTTGCTATAGAAATACTATAAAGAATGTCACCAATGGTTTCGTAGCATTATCGGTATGCTTAAGAGGGTGCTGACTTTTTGAGACCACCCTATCTACCTTTCCTTATAAAATACATGGGAAAATCCCATTGGGGGAAAACCCACTTAGGGTTAGGGTTAGCTCTCCATGAATTTGGAGAGCAAAATGGATATTGCCAATGGATTCAAGGTGCATTGGTATGCTATTTACCCTATCTATGTTTCCTAGTAAAATTTCATCAGTATTACTACTGATTTGTTCAATTTCTTTTTTCTTTTAAAAAAGCCACACACACACATACACACACACACACATATCTTCATCCAGATTCTGGTACGTGTGCTGTAAACAGAAGCTTTTCCTTCACTCTTTTTCTTGTATTCTTGAAAAAAGATTTAAAGATCACATTTAAAAGAAGTATAGTGTCAAAGGTACATAAGGCTCAGCCTGAGAATCACACTCAATATATAAAGAAGTAAATTATAAGAACTGTGGAATCTAGATATGATGGGATGGGAGGGGGAAGATGATTTAGATATGTTCACCAGCTTGCAGTATGTATAGAAAAAATAATAAAGGCAGAATAGGAATAAAATTTTTAAAAATCCATCTAGAATCTCATTGTGGACCTGGAAATGCATGAGCCAAATTCATGCAATTTTTCCCCATCAAGAACAACTGTCTTTAACGTGATGTCCTTTCCATATTTTGAAACAATAATTTCTCAGCGTTACTGTCCAGACATATCTGGAAAATGACAGGTTGAAGGTAACTGATGTTGACTGTGTGTGTATAAGGGGGGGAAAAGTCATGAGGCATTTTGGAAGTACATTTAAAACAGATGGACAAAACAACGGGAAAGCTGAGCCAAGTACATACCAGATGGACTTGGACATATTTAAAGAATTGGGTGAACATTACTTTCCTACTCGGTGAACAAAAATCGAACTAACTTATCCTCAACCCAATTGAAAAAAATAAACCAGACAATGACAATTGTGAGAGAGAGGGGGAGAGGGAGAGGGAGAGAGAGAGACACAGAGAGAGGGGGGGGGAGAGAGGAAGAAACACAATTCATACAAGATAAACTCATAATATAATCCTTATATATGAGTCTAGACAGCCACTTGTCTGGAATATTATACTTGAGCAGGAGGTTAGACTAGAAGACCTCCAAGGTCCTTTCTGACTCTGTAATTCTATTCTAGTCTACTTAGACATGGAAGCCTAACTTGCATTTCCTAGTTCTTGAAGGGGTAACTTCAGCAGTTGCCTCTTACATACAGTCACCCATGTTATAGTCACCTTGTGCTTGGATTACTGCAGTGTTCTTTACAGGGGACTCCCCTTGGCAACCACCCCAAAACTTCAACTGATCCAGAATATAACGGTGCAT